ACCCGAACTCCTGGGCTGGGAGTTGTTTTTAAAGAAAAGACTGTCTTAGCTCTACTACTTTCTTTGGCATGGGAAGTGAGAGAATCTTTGTATTTGGGAATTTCGTTTATTACTAGCTCAGCCTTTTGCTTTGTGGGAAACATTCGTACAGATATCAAAGTATGCGCGTTTCTGAGAAGGGGAAACGGTCACATTATACTATCTAAAATGGGATTGTTTATCATCAAATAGAAACAAGTTTTGAATTTGGCCGTGGTCTGATTTTAAAAAGATGACCGACTGGGGCTTGTAACTGCTAACAATGCTTATAGTAAGAAGTTACTCAAACCTGCTGATTTATATGCCAATAAAAAAAATGGCTTGTAACCTCTCCCTAAATTTAAAATGAAGTGGGGGAATGGTCCAAAGTGTGTTAAAACACTCTATAAAGTAATGTAGTCTAACACTTCTCTAGGTTTCTGTTATTGCAACTGTAATTTTAGACATTTGTACAGGTTATCTTGGACACAGGAAAAGTATATAGTCACAGACATAAAACACCTATGTATAAAATATAAAGCAGTGTTATAGTTACTAAAAAGGACATGCCTTATTGCTACAGCAATTCTTGCTTTTTATATATTGTACTGTACCACAACTTGTTTTGAGAATGTCATTTGCATAAATTATTCAAGTTTGAGAAATATTCACACATTTTGATTCTACAATATTTAAAATAAAACAATTTTCTAATGTGTCTCTTTATTAAAAGAGAAATAAAAATGTCATCTTGTAATTCTCTTAGGCCAGACACAAGGGTTTATACCCCTTTTTTTTTTTTTTTTTCTTCTTTCTCGCTATTTACTTGCACAATGAAAGCCGCTGTTGGTACAAAGATTGAAGAGCTCTATATAATGGTGCTTTACACATTCACAATCGGTCTGTGCAATTGTGAAGTTCTATGAATGACCAAAGAATTACCAAACATATTTTTCTAAATATAAAGAAAAAAAAAAATCCTTGGTTCCCATTAAAACAACACCAGGTTGCAATTTGGACACTTGAATGAATTCCAATGTTTTAAAGCTGAGACTTCAAAAGAGAAAGGCATGTTTGCTGCAACATCCGGTGACTGTAATACCTTACTTGGAAAGGTAAGTGGTTAATTTGCATAATTTATAATTTTTATACTAAAGAGCGTTTTTATATAAACCAGAAAAAAACCCCTAAACTCTACAGATAAAGTTCTTACCTCCAGTCACTGCTGCAGGTAAGGTTGACATCAAGCTGTACAGCGCAATCAAAAACATACTTACATCTTAGCTCATTTTACAGGTACAGCCATAATCAAGGCACAAAGATCTTCTACAAGTATTTTTCTTCAATAAAGTTGTACAAAATAATATTACATTTTACAGTCTGTACAATATAATAAACCAGCAGTAAAACAAAAAAATATATATAGGGAGAGGACCGTTGTCCAAGAATGATCAGAACTCAAAGGATCATTTGTGGACAGCACAAATAACGTAAGTGAGGGTGGCAAATCTTCTGCCTCGATGCGACAGGCTGAAAAGTAGCTGTAATTCAAATGCCTGAGGTGTGCAGAGACACTTCGCTCCAAAACCCCAGAAAAATTGCTTTGTCTTTGCTGTTCCTCTCATTATCTACTCTACTTCCTGTGCCAGTAACGGCTTAAAAGAGGAGGTCACTTTATCAGTTGACCTGCAACTCAGAAATGCTAAAAACTGTGACAGAGTAATAAATATTGTGGTGCTGCTACATTGTGTGTCTACTTCCTCAACAGTATTTAATAACCTGATACAAAGTGCATTAATCTTTTTTTTTTTTTTTTCACCCATCAAGTACTCTTCAATGTCATGTTAAAAAGGAAACCCACACAGAGGGATAGGTATGACTTTAGTGTCATCCAGCTGACATACCAGTTTGAACTGACGTTAACCTGCTGGAAAAAATTTAGCAGGTCACGTCCAGTTAAGAAAACAAAACCTAAGGGAACAGAGGTAGCCAAAGGGCTTAGTGGAATGACGAAGAAGTGGCATGTCAAAATAAAGCACAAAAATAGTCCCAAAAAGCATGAAGGAAAACCAACCCAAACTTGCTTCAGATCAGCTTTAAGGTTAAATAATTAAAGTAAACAAAGTGAAGAGACTGACATTTCTATAGTATATTCTTCCACCCTGTGTGGGGTAGCATCAAGAGAAAGAGTAAGGAGCAAAGAATTTAAAACCACAGGTTCCACGGTGATCCCCCTCACAAGAGTTCGTACTGGCGGAGATGCATCCTTTGAATGATGTCTCGGCAGTCGTTGAACACTCTGCGGATATTTTCTGTGTCCACTGCGCATGTGAAGTGTGGGTAGCAATAATGCCTGCCGTCTCCGCTCGCTGTACTTATCCTCTGTGGAAACAGGGAGGAAAAAAAAGGGTCAGGCTTTGTGCCATGGCATGTTTCACTTCTTGGGGACCTTTGGACTTATGGAGCATCAAGAAACCTGGGAAATTTGGTATAGAGATGATTAAAAATAAACAACTAAGAAGAAGGAAGGTCTGTGGTCAGGTCCAACATGACTCACGAATGCAAAACTAAGATAAAGTTATGGATGATATCATGGGGTCAGTATATTACTGCTCTGTCAGAGCCACTGACGCGACCATCGGTTGCACAAGCCATTACCGTTTGCACATCCCTGTGCATCTGATCGGTGCTGCTGGCAGCACTGCAGCCTGCCGTGCTTCTGTCCTGGGATATTTTTCCTCTTCTTTTTTGGTACCAAATTCTGGCAAATTTTTGAACTCTTGTTTTAAATCAGCAACACAAACCTGAAAACCTCCTGGTTGTGACGGTAGTAGTGGCAGAGAACAGCGCTCTGCTGCTTCTGCTTCTTGAAGCTGAAGGCCCCTGAAGTTACCTCTACTTATCACCCCTGTTAAGCCAGCTGAAGACCTGGTATCATTCCTGAGACCAGAACATGGTGGAATGATCACTAGAGCGAACGTGTTCCCACAGAATAATAAAACATGAACAAATCCAGGAAATAACAGATCATGCAGAATTAAAATTCTCACAAGGCTACTGCACAACTTCTTAGGTTGCTAACTTAAGCTCCAGCATCATTTTGCCCACGAATATTTTCTTAAAAATCCCCAGGATCTTAAAAAAAATATTTTAAAAAAATTCTAAATTTTGTTCTGTATTATTATAGGGCTGATAAATATAAATCCAATAATTTTATTACAAATTATGGTGGCTGAACAACAAAAGACACTGTTTTCACTCTCTTTGGCTACCCTATATATTTTTATTAAAGCAATTTATTTTACATGTAGGATTGACCTTTTAAATACCTGCATGTACATCTATGCAAAACTATAGACATTTAGAAGCCATGATTTACATAATTGGATCAAAGAGAAATTGCAAATTTTTGCAGGTAACTGAGGTAGCATTAGCTATTCAACACTAATTAAACAAGGGGCATTCCATACATGCACTAAAAATTATTTTCTTCTTATTAAGCTACGCTCAATACGTAGTCAAGGATTACCCTCATGAAAAATATTAATTTAATAACGTATTCAGTTGATAGATAAGTTGTTCAGACCATATTTGAAGCATAAAGTACAGTAAACAATAATGAACCGAGAAAAAAAAAGTTTTACAAATTACTGCAATGGTGGCAAGATGCTGAAACTCAATTAAAATGCAGATTGTATTTGTCTACCTGCAGAATCTCCCAGAAGGGTCTGGGGTGATCTTTGCTGTCTGGCGAAGTCTGGGGGAAATCAGCGCCTTAGGAACTCAAGGGCCGAAAGGACAGTTGTGTGCATGGACGTTCAAGATGATACCAATTTTAAAACAGTAAAAAAATGCAATAGTGTTTCTATTTTTGATACAATAGCTGCTTTGCATTTTAGCTTTTCTGCAGATACGCTGCACTATATGACAGCAGTATAACGCCTCCACTCAGATGCAGCAAGGGGAGAGCAGTTACTAAACATTTTTCTTTTTCTTTTTTTTTTTTTCTTTTTTTAAATTGGATTTAAACCAAAATACTGTTCCCCCAAAGAGAGCCCAGCCTGCCTTCCGACTCCTGCTGCACTTTTTCATTCTGTACTGGCAAGCCTCAGAGGAGCTCAGCCCTGGCCTGTTGCAGGGCGCTGCGGCTCTTCTGCTCCGCACTGTTTGAGGCCGGTGCCTGTACGTGCGGGCTCCAGCTGCTACTGCCACGCTCGCCCTCGGCCCTTCCAGCACGCGTCCTTCGAGCAGCACGGCCTTACAGCGCCTTAACATCTCCACACGGTCCGCACACAGCAGTTACGTGCTGTAAGGATGCGAGGGGGTGGGGATCAGACCCCCCCTCTGACGTGCTCTGTCTAGGACTAAATGTTACGAGCTGCCAGTGAGGGAAAACGTACAAATTAACGTACAAACACTTTCAGTGCCACCCTGACGTGGGCAGTAGGAGCACACCACCCTACTGACCCAACGCTCCATCTTTTCCTTGTGTTTCGGTAGAATAAGTGTTCTCTCACTCAGTGTTTGCGTTTATCGTGCACCGATCCCACTGACGTCTACGGGCAGTAGTGCCCACAACATTCTGGTGACACCTGGTTACATCTAAAGCGTGTCAAAGAGCACAAGCAGGAGTATTTAACACCAGCGTCCCCATGCTGCGGGGGTCAGGACAACAGTTTTCAGCGAAGATCCAAACGCACGATTCAAGGGAGCCCCTGGTCTGTGTGTTTGAACAGCAGCTCCTTCACCTCCCAGATTCAGATTTTTTTAAAAACCAGCATGAACCAGAGGGGCCGTGCCACTGTTTTAACAGGGGTTACCTAGGCACTGGGCATGTATTAAAACAAAACATCAGCAGCTGGAGAGCCCTGTGTACAAAACACCAAAATGGGGCAGGGGAGCAGTCCAAACAAGGAGCGCACGAGCACACCGTCTCTGTCAAGAGCTTGGGAAGAAAAAGGACATGCTTGAGCTGAAGAAAGGAGGATTTCCTACAAGATATCCTTATGCCTGATCCCACCAACTTGGAAGTCACTGTCTCTAATTGGCCTTTGCCCACCTCACCCTCCGCACTGGGCCCGTCCGTGGCCTCCATCACTTGAGGCACACGCAGGCTGTCCAGACCATTTTCGGGAGCAGAAACACCTCACTTGCAAGACTTTCATTTCCAACAGCCCAAGAGTTTAAAGCAGCTGTTCAAATGACTGAGTCCCTCTGGTTTTTTATGCTGAGAAACCAAGCACATTAATGAAAATAGATACAGGTGAGGAGTTTCACTCTAGTTTCCACGTAATTTGGTTCTCTTGGACCCTCCTTCCCAACTGGACACCGTCACCTGCTTCTCAGCATTACCGCAAGAGAGATTTGGCTTGCAGTGGGGTTTTTTGGTAACTCTTATGTTAACACTGAGCAATCTGACATTTTTCCTCAGAATCCAGAAGGTTAAGGCAGTGGATGGAAATTGCCAAAGTGTGAACACAGTTAATTGTTTCTTTCTTTCTTGTTGCACCAACAGCCGTAAATCCTAACGATACTTGTAAATGTATAACAACTTTAAAATTCTTAATTCTAATGATCTTCTCTCAAACACCCCCATACAGTTTCTACCAGCAGACAAGATGGATGAGCCTTGGTTCTGATCTCCATTACTGCTTCGCACTGTGGGAACGACTCAATATGAGTGAAGCTGTAGGTGATATTAAGCCCTCTGTTTCTGACAGCAGCGCCAGGCTGTGATCATGTGCCTGGTAATTGCTTGTATCTGCAAAATGTAGACAACAGCTCTTCAGCTCCAGCTTTGGAGGAAATCTTAATTGCAAGAATAACTGGGACCAGACAAGGAAACTTTATGATTCCTCAGTAGGGCCATGACACCAGTCCTAGGGCGAGGCAAAACTCCTAACTGGCATAACAGAAATCTTATTTAAGGATAAGGATATTTAAATCTTTATTTAATCTTATTTAAGGATAAGGGTGTTTATAGATGAGAAGCTCAACATGAGCTGGCAGTGCACTCATGCGGCCCAGAAGGCCAACCGCATCCTGGGATGTATCAAGAGAAGTGTGGTCAGCAGGTCAAGAGAGGTGATTCTCCCCCTTTACTCTGCTCTTGTGAGACCCCACCTCGAATACTGCGTCCAGTTCTGGTGTCCCCACCATAAGAGAGACATAGATTTGTTGGAGCGTGTTCAGAGGAGGGCCACAAAGATGATGCAGGGGCTGGAGCACCTCTGCTACGAGGACAGGTCGTGGGAGCTGGGATTGTTCAGCCTTGAAAAGAGAAGACTTCGGGGGGACCTAATAGCTGCCTTCCAATACCTGAAGGGAACCTACAGGAAGGCTCGGGAGGGACTTCTTACAAGAGTGTCCACTGGTAGGACAAGGGGAAATGGGTTTAAGTTGAAGGAGAACCGATTTAGATTAGATCTTAGGAAGAAATTCTTCAGTACGAGGGTGGTAAGACTTTAGAATAAATTGCCCAGAGAAGTTGTGGATGCCCCCTCCCTGGAGGTGTTCAAGGCCAGGTTGGAAGGAGCCTTGAGTAGCCTGGTCTAGTTGAGAGGCGTTCCTGCCCATGACAGGGAGGTTGGATTTGATGATCTCTGAGGTCCCTTCCAGCCTATGCCATTCTATGATTCTGTGATAAAATCTGCTTTTTTTGTTCATTCCCTCTTGCCAGCTGACCACTGCCAAAGCCCTTGGAGGAATGCAGGATGAAAAAAAAAAAAAGCCTATTTGCTTAAACATAGACTGGACTGATACACAAAATAAACATTCAAGGCAACAGTCAGCATCTTACAGGTAAAGACAACCACAGAAAACGTCACTAACTGGCAATGGAAATAGTGCTCGGCATTGTCCCCCTGCACAGAGTGAGGGCTGCTGCCACCCGCACCGAACCGAGAGTCGAGTGGGCAGGCACGTAACCGTTTTCAGCACTAGCACGTACTTGTTGTGTGACACTTTGCAGGGCAGGTGATTTTATATAAAATGGGCATAAAAATGTGCAAGCACTGGGAAAAGTTCTCCAAGATGGGCAGCTGAAAAGAATTAGGGAATTGCCAGACGTTCTCCTTCTAGCTTTCTGCAAAACCCCATCAGTTTTCCCTAAATAAACTATGCCATCTGCTAGTATTTCCTATGATAGAATCACAGATAAGATCAAAATTACTCACTAAAAACTCATCCCGGATGAAGAACTTGGCTCTCGTGACTTTGGGGTCTTCTCCTGCATCTGGTGTTGCTGTTCAATTAAAAATAAAGGCCATAAGAAACACGAAAAGCAAACAATAATCTACTTTTCATAATAAAAGATTTAATAAAGAGGAAGTAGCTCTTCAACACATAAATTAAAATGTTAAATATTCATAGGAGATTCCTGATAGGTAATTCTAAAATGGACGGGTATTGTAAAACCTGACTATGCATTTAAAATATTTTAGAAACCTGAAAACTGCTGAAATCGTTGCAACAATGTCATTGCTTGTGTCATAAAGAGGCTTACTCACATCCACAGGTTTGTTCATATAGATACAAACCCCACAAATGGGAGTTAGGGTTTAACTTTTATCAGAAAATATGACTAGAAAAAGCAGCTGAGCTGTTCAGTTTCTGCAGCAGAACAGCATCCCTTGAATAAAGCTTCTGCAGGCAGGACTTTGGATTTAAAAATGATTAGTCCAAGATAACACTTGAAAAAAATTTTAGCACCAAAAGATCTTTCAATATATGCATTTTATTTCCAGGCCCCAAGTCAGCAGAATACTTAGATATGCTGCCCAGCAAGGGGCCTTAGATGAAATTCTTGTTGAGCGGAACACTCATTGGCCACTACGAAATGTCAGCAGATGAAGTCACCTCTATCTCGGCCATGTAACAACCGTGTTTACTCTAAGTGTATAAAACAATACAGTGAAGAGATAAACTATTTATTTCCCTTCAGCATGATTTCTCCTAAGATACGAAATCAAGATGTTTATAAACATAATATGGTAAATGGCAGAATTTATCAGAGTACAGAAGCATTTTTTTCTTTTTATCTATAGCGCTAGGGGTAAATCAGAACAACAGTACAACCAGCAGCATCTTAGAGTTCAGTGCTGCTGTCCTTAACATCTGATTTACCCTTAGAGTAATTTACCCTTAGAGCATCTTAGAGTTCAGTGCTGCTGTCCTTAAATAACATCAGCTGAAGTTAAAGAATAAATGAACAACTACAGGTTAAAAATAGAGAGCTGCTTCATGTGTGAATATTCTGGATCACTCTGGATATCCGCCGTGAAATCCTGCTGAGAAATACCAAAAGCTACTCTGTTCTGACAACTGGCTTACTATAAAAAAAATGCTGAAAATTTACCGAAACTCCGCATATATATGATGTGTGTTTGGGAGAGGGCAATTTGGGTGATGGTGACAGAAGATGTCTTCTGAAAGCCCTTAGCATTACAAAACTGGTGCCAGGTTAACTCAGATTTTAGGACAGTTTATTTATCCTCTCCACCTGAAACTCAGCATCACTCTCCTTAAATTCCAGACCTGAATGAAATTTGAAAATAACTGATTACCATCTTCACTTCTAGAACCTTGTTGATGGTTAGTGGAGAAGGAAAACCTTTTCCAACAGGTGGCTGCAAGCTCTGCACCCAGGGCATCACTCGGGTAAGGCAGAGGCTAGTGGTCAGAAAGTGCAAGTTTTACCACTTTTGCTAGACACAAACTGGAGATATTTGGGAAGTCCTCTGCCTGGTATAAAACTGGCATAATACCAGAGTTCATGTATGCACTATGCTATTGCAGTATAGGAATCATTCTACTTCTTGAAATGATAAGGAACCCACACTAATTGCTCCATCATCACTGCTCTCTTTGTATTTACTGATGTGGTTTTCCTCCATTAAAGTTCCCTTGCTGGTTTGCTGGGCTTCCCACCAGTATTTGCAAAAGCTGAAGTTTACAGTGTTGGAGGATGCAGAATGGCCGCAAAGTAACTCTAACGAATCCCTAACAGAGTTCAGCACCGTAGGAGGCACAGGCAGAAGCACCTGTCAGGGCAGAGACACATCCGGCAGCTTTGCTTTCCTGGGACTATGGGTCGCTCCAAAACAGGGGAAGGCAGGCGCTCTGGAGCCAGCCCCCTACAGTCTCCCCTCACCCCCTTTAGCAGCCAGAGGCCCTTCAGACTTTGCCCGTGCTGGGGCACCTTCGAGCCGTGTGCTACCAACAGTTCACGTTAAGGAATGGTGTGTGCTTGTCAGTTTGTGTGTGTGAGAGAGACTGACAGAGACAGAGGAACTATGGGCTGGGCTGCGCTAGCAGGTCCGATCCCTGTGTGGTGAAAAATCTTACCATCCTCGGGTACAGTGTAATGCGCGTATTCAGGAAAGTAATCTTCGATTTTTGATTTGCCTGCCAAGACTTTTTCAGCCAGCATGTCCTGTTTATTCAAGAACAAAATGATAGAAATGGTCCGTAACCACCTGTCAAAAACAAACCAAATGTCTGTGTTATCTCTGACATGTTAATCAAGGAAAACGTATCACTTCAACAGAAAATTTCCTGGCTATCCCTGAGTGGACAGAGAATGAAGTAGTGTGGAACATGCTTCAACAGAAAAAACGATGACCTAAATTATTGTTTCGATTGGGCTGCACCTGTGCTGGCAGGTATATTTATAGAATCTGTAAATACACTTACAAAAACTGCAGTAGACATTGCTGAAGGGAGCAGTCTTCAAACACTTTTTTCCAAATTATCCTTTTGATACTGAGTTGGGAAAATGATGACATTTCCTAAAAGCACTACGATCCAAAACCAGACACTACTGTCTACTTTGTTTGGTTTTGCTGAAGCAAAAGAGAAAGGCTGGAAAGCTGCCTTCCCTCAAACTGCTCTGTCTTAACTATTGTTCACGCACACAGATATCCTGTCTTTCAGGGCGGCCTGTATGACACCTGATGAATCAAAAGAAAATAGTATCTTTTCTTCCTCAATTAATACCTAGCCATCACTGTGACAATATGCCTTCGGGACTTGCACTTAACGTTTTTCCTCACTCCACCTGGAATTACCTCTCAGTGTAGAGCATCCTCATACGTATGTGATGAAAACTTCATTACCTTATTTTGTGTATTGTTTTTACTTATTCTATCAGGAACCCATTCAGATCGCTGGTTGGTGATATATCTATCATTTACATGCACGGTAGCAGAATGGCAATTAAATGGCAGCTACGATTAGATTAGATCCAAAACATCATCCCACAAGGCAAAGAATCTGTGCTCTCTCAGAGATGAGCCTTGTGAGAGCGGCTGCCCACGCGGGGATCGAGCGCAGCGCCAAGCCGGTGAACCGCGAGCAACGCCAACAGCCAGCTGCAGCTGCTGCTGCGTCTGCAGAGGAGACAAACGTCATTTGGAGGATACTCTCAGTCTCGGCCGAGCAGCACAGTGACGACAGGAAAGGGTCTCCCCTGCTTCCCTCGCGGCAGCGGGTACAGGGAGCTTGCCCTTTCCATGCTGTCCCCATGCCCTGCATCATTTCAGCAGCGGCGGTGAAACGTACATACATACCCCGCTGAGGAGGGGTATGCACTGCGGGGGCACCCCGTGACCTGGTCCTACCTGGATGTTTTCTGAGTAAGCGATCTGAGCATATAGTAAGGGGAGTCCTATTTTGCAAGGAGTTTAACTGTAGCTGAATTGGAGAGAGAGGGTGGGAAATGAGGTATGTTTTACCTATTATTCCAGATACTTTTGAAAAGGTCCAGAGATTCCCGTAGTCTGTTTGTGTTATTGTCTTCCCTTATTACCATGTTGTAGCTGCTGCAAGCCACAACGAAGATGATAGCCGTGACATCTGGACAGAGGCACACCAAAAAAAAAAAAAAAGGAGAGAGAAAAGAACATCTCCGTTATCCCAGGACATACTCCTCAGCCTAACACTGCCATTATTCCCCAAACTGCCAAAAATACACAAGAAAATAGCTATAACACTGTACTCCTGTATTAGTGACACACTATGTGTGAATATGAATACTAAGCTGCTCGCACTTCAGAGAATAAGTTCAAAATAAAAATGTGGAATATTTTTACTTACCATTAAAGCATTGGATCCATTTTCTTCTCTCATCTCTCTGGCCACCTACATCAAACATGCTGTTAAAAAGCCATAGGATGTTATATCACTTATGTGCACTAGGAAAGTCACATGAAGCATGCAGCACGAGGGTTCAGTTCAAAAATGTGACAGCACCAAGGACGTGGCAGTAAAACATCACCTGAAGGAGAGAGAGCTCTGCTGACACTGTGCCGCATGTCAGAGAGCTGTACAGCTCCACCTGCCCCGCTCTGCCAGGAGAAGGCTACCGAATCCATAAAATGAGAAATATACTCTTTGTCAGGGCAAGTGTTTGCATTTTTAGCCCACAGAAGTGCATGTGGCATGTACGGTTGGACCTACTGTACTATAAACAAGGTCAGGCTTCAAGAGATTTTGAAGGGTGGTCGGGCGAGTACATCTGTCTAAGGAGGAGGACATGGGGGCAGCTCTGCCTGTCAGCACTGCCACCTTTCTGGGCAAGAACCAGTAAGCGGAGGCAGCCCGATGGCAAGAGTTTTACAGAGACACAGTGTAATACTTTGACAAACACAGAGCTTGCAGCCCTCCAAAAGAAGGGAGATGTTTACCTCTCATCATCCCACTGTACAAAGTCTGACTTGTGGCGGGATTCTCACTGACTTCTGCAAGACCTTATCCTCAAAAGTATTTTACGAGTTTACAGTGCTATATCAATGAACCAATTAGTAAAAACAGCCACAGACAACCTCACAATAGAGCATCACTAATACACATAACTAGTATCAGCCCTTTTTACAAAGTACAAGGCAATTTCACCAGGACCTACGGAAAGAGAGCTAAAAAACCAAACCAAATAAAAAAAACCCCACCAATTTCCACCTTAAACCTACTATACCAAGCATACATGAGCATAGACATGTGAACTAAGTTATTAAAGATCAGTATGATATTCATTAAATTATTACTAATAGACTTACTGGAAATTTACTTTATCTACTTGAAATCTTGTTTCAAAAATCCCTGATGTCAACACTCTGCATCTTAATAGGTCCTAGAAATAAGAACACAGAAGCTGATTAGCAAGGTTTTTTTTCTAACCTCATTTTGTTTTTAAAAGTACAGAACATTATTTTCCATGAAAAGTCTTAAATGTTCCATTTAATTAATGTGCAGTCAGACTTGTTGGTAAACCTATATTTGTCCATACTGACACAGTAGATATACATAGACATCATCTCTGCACATGGCTTGTGCACACTTGGAAAGCAGGAGACTCTATATATGTTCTTAGTGCACACTGAAAACCTTTACTGATGGTCATAAAATTTTGTAGGTGATGCGAATAATGATTCTAAAATTACATGAAACTAAGAAAAATGTTATTCATGTTGTAAAGTTAAGTATTCAAATGTTAGAAAACTCCAGATTTACAGTTGCCCAGGCAACCTTAATTCTGCCCTCTTGTACTGAATGAGAGAGGAATCCTATCAAAATAATAGCTTGTGACTGAGTAATTAAAGCTCTGTTACAGAGCACAGGGGGACAGAATTTAGGTTGTACATAAATCTGGCATTTCTTTCTTATTTCTCAAACTAGCAATACTTTACAACTTAAATAACATTCTTTTAATAATTAAAAAAATAATAATTTCCTAGATTCTCAAAGGAAGTAGGCAAAAGCAATTTATGATGGATACCTCAGGCAACTAGCTCACCGCGTGCCATTGTCATCACCAGCAGCATTTTTAACCTTGACTGTCCGGCACTGCTGCTCGGGCAGTGGCTGCAGTACAAAATCAGAGGCTGGAGAAAGCTGCCGGCTGCCTGATGGGGATGAATCCCCCCTGAGCAGCCCCATCTCGGCACGACCGCCTGCCTGGGGAGCGCTCCATTCCTTGGGAAAGGGAAAGGCTGCTCGGTCTAGCTTAGCTCTCCTTGCCACGCAGCAGATGCAAAAGCAGAGAGGGAAGGAGGCAGTCGGAGGTGCAGAGTCCAAGCACAGCTTGCCTTTTGCCCCCACCCTACCATCTACCGCTTCAAGTACTCTGGTAGCTGGCAAACCTCAGCTGCTCTGACAGCTGCATGAACTCAGCTGAAGGCCACTTATTTAATTATTTTAGTTATTTTATAAGTTATTGTCATTTTCTGTCACTTGCTGACGTTTGTTTCTTATTGGACTCAGTCATTATTTTGAGATTGTGCAAAAAAAATCACAGAAAGTAAAGGAAAAAAGGAAAGTAGAGATTTTTATCAGTTAATTCA